TTTTTTTTTTTTTTTTTTTTTTTGAAAATAATTGTTCAAATAACCAATGACAAGGTTAGTAAATTTAAGAGTTCCACTTTTATTGAAAAAGCAAATTAATGTCTATGATGTCAAAAACACTGAACTTTTCATGGGAAATGGTTGTATAAAGTGTTGAGGGTCGTGTGTTTTGATATTATTGATTTTTTGTAAAATTTTGTGATTCAATTTTTCTTAAAACTTCCTTGGAGTTTTAATATCCACATCTGATTAACACCATTTTTCGAATATATTGTAGTACAATACTTCTGAAGTTTCTCTTTCACTCTGTTACATGTAATATTTTATTTAGGAGTAAAGAAAGAGGCTTTGTAGAACATTTACTGGAACAATTTGTAGTAATGTTGTTTGCAGGTACCCCTATTATTTTTTTATGGTTTACGGGAGATAACTCTTTGATTTTCCGGAATGTGAAATCGGAAGCATACAGAAAAATATGCTGTTCAAATAAACAACCTGCTGCAATGTGTACACCAGGTCACTTGATCCTCACATCAATGTGTACACCAGGTCACGTGATCCTCACATCAACCTGTGTGAGGTTAGTGTTAGCTTGATGATGCGACCTCTAAATATAGAATGCAACCTGCTGCATTTCTTCTCTGTTCTTTTTAGGTGAGATTTCATGCTTGTTCATTTAGGTGTGTAGGGTTTCTTTTGCCTTTTGTGTAAGGCGATTGTCGTCATTTGTTTACATTTTTATTTTGTATGCAAAACAGCTTTTAAATTGTATATTTTACATTTTTAGTGAAGCGCAGTCTAGTCACAGGTTGGGATTTTCCGCCATAGTGGGAATATGTAAAACTATCGATTATGATTAATGATTTGACATAATATTATGCTATCTATTTTCTTGTAATGTGTATGTAAAGAAATGAATTAGTTTTTTTTTAATTTTATTATTTCAACTACCAGTATTAGTTTTGACAATGCATAGCTTATTATTCGGAATACCAAGGTTCTGACCATTGTTGGTTTTAGCATTAGTGTGCGCTTTTTGGTTTCCGGTTTGCATTACCATCTTAGGAACATGTTGCCGTTAGTTATTTACAAGGTTAGCTTTTAAAAAAAGCTGACAGTCAGCCACTGGAATACAGAAAATTTCTTTCTTGTTTTGTGATGGTATATGATTTGTTTTATCCATCATGTTGTGTTCATTAAAAGTCATTGTCGTCCAAGTTAAAATTTGCCCAGTCGTTTTCTTATTTGTAACATAATACTGTACATTTAAATAATAAAGCATAGAATAAATTTTAGTTAGACTACATCGTGATCTTTATGATGACCCCCAATTAATTTCTCTTGGGCGTGGACATCAGATACAGGCCCGTAGGAAGCAATTTCAGTTGGGGGGGGGGGGGGCACAGCCATACATTTTCAGTTGGAGGGGCACTATTAACTACCAAAAATTCCTTGACAAGCATAAAAAGAAAAATAGATAAATAAAAAATAAAATAAATAAATAAATAAATAAAGAAATAAAAAGGTCATCAGACGTTTTTATTGAGAGGGCACAAGCATATAGTAGCTATGTTTTCTATAGTAGTATGTATATCGGAAAAATTATAAGGGGAGCACCCCCCCCCCCCCCCCGGTTCCTACGGCCATGAGATAAAGTTCGTCTCAGAAATGAACAAAGCCACTATAATGATCCCAATCATTGAACGTTGAAGAATGTATACATTTTCAATTTTACTGTTAAATTCTATAAATGATATATTGTGTGAATTCCGACCCGTACATGTCTTATGCAAGGTATTGATCGAGGGAGTCTTGCATCAATCATTCAGAGGAATACACACAAATCCGTGAACTTGCAACGGCGATTGAGGGAATATATATATCCAGTGTTAAATGTGCTCTGCATATAAACTTCTCATCTTCTATAAGAAGCACTGAAATATTTTCATAGTATCATATTTCCCACTTAGAACAATCTCTTCTTTAATTTTTCGCCGAGAACGACGAAGAACAATGCAGTTTATAAATAGATCGAGGTCGCGTCTTTGTTTAGAGGGTGTTTGTGAAGAATCACGCCCTTTGGTTGGAGCAGATAGCACGAGTTTCCTTAGAACAAGTGTTGTACATCTTTTTCCCAGAATTCCAAATTACGCAAGCGCAGTTGCAGTTTCATCCCACCGTAACTAGTCAGCCCGTGGACTGACTAATAAGACGACAAGTTGTTGTCCTTTAAAAAAGGACTGCAATACGTGGACCATATGCATGTGTTTTACACGAAATTCAAAGAAAATTTCTAGATTTAGTGATTTTACAAAGGTGTAATTAAATTTAATTATTTTTTACATGTATCTTGTAATTTTCATCGCTATTCAAATTTGCTTAATTAGGCTGTAAAGATAAAAAAAAAACCATGACCTTGAAATTATGTGAATATGAAATGTTCAATCTAATTAAAATTAGATGTTCCGAATCCGCTACCGCTTCTCAAAAGAAGCAGTAGCGGATTCGGAACATTTGATTTTAATTAGATTGTGAAATGTTGATCTAGGTATCTATCACAATTGTAAACACTGGTAAAGTAGCCTTTAAAATCAACAACAGAATTAAAAGAGGCCTAAGCGTGCAGGTGTCGTAATGGTTGAATTGTAACTCCGTTGGCGGATCCGGGAAAAGGGGGGGGGGTCGGATGTTGTAACCCCATTTATTTTTGCAGAAAGAGGAGGAGAGAGAGTGTGTTTTTTTCTGTAATATAGATATTTTTACGTCTAGTATTTTCAATAAAATATTAAGTACTTCAATTTCTGCCCTTTCTACTCTCTAGATAGAGTTTTGCTTATTGCTTTTCTCCTTGTACTTTCACAACCCCGGCCCCGGGCCTCGACCACCCACACGTAACATGAAAGATCTCACTTCGATATCATCGGAAGATTCCGGCGAACGTACATAGCTATTTTTTGGACCATCCTCTGAAGTAACTAACTTTAAAAAGTATGCATAAAAGGTCATGAAAGGGAGTATGCATAAGAGAATATTTTTCTCCTTATGTCATGGGGATATTTTAATCAATAAAGAGAAAGGTTGTTGGGGAGGGGGGAACACTTTTTCTTAAAAAATAATCTTTTGTTATAATTTGAATATATGTTTTGATTTGCAGTGGAGGCTCCCCCGCACTTTTTGTTGCGGGAAGGTTCAAAATACGGACAATCAGACATTTAAAAGAAATCAAAATGTACCGAAAAGTTTAGACGAAGCTCCCTCCCCCCGAAATAGGATTTTACGGTGTTGTTATTTTAATTTATTTATTTTTTGTTGCTTGTCAACTCTTTTTGGAGGTTGTCCCCTTTGAAAACTGTTGCTACGGACTTGAATATAAGTGCCTGCAGTGTGACCTAGAACCCCCCCCCCTTTTCAAAAACTGCTGAATCCGACCCTGTACTGAAGCACTAGAGGGTCTCGGCACTAGAGGGTCTCGAGTTATTTAAAACAATGCTAGGTTTTCGATTAACTCGATCAATTTAAAAACACAAAAAAAAAAATATTTTGTGTGTGTGTGTGTGTTTTCTCCGTTTCTTTTAAATAATGGAATGGTTAATGTACAACACCTGCAATCGTAACTTCTCGGCAAAACAACGTGTTTTTCCGAGTTCGCCAGAAGGTCTGAGAAGATGCGATTGACAATCTCATCGCACTTGTGTAGACCTGGGCTATTTGGTCTTGCAAGCACAGGTGTGTGCACTGTTTGTTGGTGACGCTTAGACCGGTGACAGTTTTTGCTACGGACATGAAGAACTATACACCAGTTTCATAACGTGCATTTTTTTTTCTAGTGAAAATTGGAGTAAATTGAAAGTCGAATATCTTGGATATGGGGTAAACCATATCTATTCTTGTTACAACGACCGTCAATGCATCCATGGACGAGTTCATTGGTTATTACATTTTCTACAATGAACTGCCTACTTTGAGTGATTGTACTTTCATAGCAAAGTTGTTAAATTTTCTTCCCGATTGGCCTACACTTTCGTCATTTTAAAAAATCGAGCTATTTCGATACATGTAAGGGACTTAACATCTACACTAGATTTATACGGAAGATAGCCTATGGAAAGATAGATGGTACACAGGTAGCACAGATGTGTCGTGCGCAGATCTTTTTTATGTTTCTCCCTCTGCCCTACATGGAAAAACCTCTATCAAGCTATATTTGGATTGCTGTCAATCAAATTATTTTGCGAACCTTGATGCACAAAACTAATGCCGGTAAATCTTTTAAAACCTAGTAGTTGAATTAAGTTTTTAATTCAACATGTTCAAGCTGTTAAGCTATCTATATAAGTTTTTCCTACTTATTTAAAATGCTTGTACCATAGAATTTGGTTTGTATATAAGGATATATGTATTAAAGAGAAATTCAGATATTGGTTACGCCAAAGAATAAATAAATACGATGTGCAGATTTTAGAGCGAGGTTTGCCATTGGCATATTCTAATTCGAAGAGGGCGATTTGTTCTAAGGGCAAGTTGACTTAGAGGCGAACTCTCTAGCATTCTCGCGCATGGGTAGCCTGACGTAAGCCCATGGCATCCGGTTTAACTTCCACTTATATATTTTCTGCGTGGACCTCAGGGTCCACGCAACAAGTGCTTTGTAACGTATGAATATTCTAGTCATCATTATTTTGTATATTACAACACTTTCTTTTGTTTACCCCTAGACAAGTTAATATTGAGCCAATGCATTGTAATGTTTACATATTATTACACGGAATATTATGTGTACCTGCTGTTCAAATAAACAACCTGCTGCATTTCTCCTCGGTTCAATTTACTGCTATGTATCTCTGTATAATAATATCATTTTTGACATAATAATTCAAAAGAAATATTAAAATCGTTTAAAACATTATGTTACTTTTATTTCAGACATAAGTTCAAAGTTTTGACCAAATATTGTCATTTCATATGACTTTCAAAAGGTATCAAATATTTTAGGACACCCATTGCATTTGTCTCCAAATATCTCAATGTTCAAAAATCACTGCTAACAATTCAGGGAGAAAAACATGTCGATCTTATTAATTTTCTAAGTATAAAAATTCAAACAAAATAATTACTTGGTCTGTTTTTTTTTTATTTTGTCTTTCATTACTGTTTAATAATTCCTCAATGGAATATCAAAGTGTTTGAAATCTCTTCTGAGATGGTAGAATCCATGCACATCAACACGGTTTTTTTTACATGCACATGCAGTCGATTCTTCATAAAATGAAAAAAAAACAACCTTGTCATTATTGTTTCTCATTTTCATTGAAATTCTTTGGAAATTCTGATATTTCCCCTTCTGGGGAATGCCTTTTATATTCATCCTTTTCTGAATAATATCTGACAGATATGGGTTTAAATGGATTCGTTTCTTCCTTGGGGTTTCCGAACTTTGTTATCCAGATAAAGGATCCTGGCTTCAGTCCTGTGTATTTGCAGAAAAAAAAGAATAATTCACAAACTCGTAAGATGAACCCCTTTCTTAAACAGTATATTAATGCTGATTTTCATTTTTCTGGAACTTTGCCAGAAAGTTAAGCAGTGTAAATACACTGCTGTTTTGTATTTATATTCTCAATAAATGAATTGCAATAAATTCACAGGAAACAGGAAATTATAAGCAGATTTCAATTTTTTATATTTCAAAATAATATCAATGCATTGTGATGTAAATTTACAATGTACACTTTGTTACTTACAGCATATTAATTAAGACCGTTATATATTTATTAAAAGATATTTATATATATAGTGTTATCTTTTATTAATGATTTGCCACAAACCTCTGTATTTTGGAGTATTTCTGCCAAAAAAGTAAAGAGCACCAAACAGAATTCCTGATAGTACGGCGATCACAAAACAGAATACTAGGAAACTTGGGGGGCCAGCTGCTACAAAAAGCTGTGAACAAGATGACTACTTATATATAAATTAAAACGCTGTTGATTTTTTATAGACCCTTGTAAGTAATTGTCAAAATAGCATTTATGTGATTACGCTTCATTGAAGGATTGCCTTAAAGAATCGTTGAAAATAAAAAAATAAATTGTTTTCGGCAATACGTACAGTCCCACATCACGAGAGATCACTGGAATTTTTCAAATCTTAAAATCTTTGGAGTTGTCGATAATGACAGTTTACACATTTTTCAGTATGTAGCAAAAATGTCAATAAAATATTATCCTCAGAGGGGTGATATGACCAAAACAGAAGATGCAAGACTTTGTAGATATTTAAAAATTCAATACATAAAGAATACATTATATATATATATATATATATATATATATATATATATATATATATATATATATATATATATATATATATATATATATACATATATATATATATATATATATATATATATATATATATATATATATATATATATATATATATATATATATATATATATATATATATATATATCCTTTCTAGAATGTTTTTGGAGGAAAACGTACAAGGGATATGGTACAACTAGACCTAGTGACCAGCAAACAAGTCTCAAAGCGTGTATTATTCATTTACCGATTAGAAACAACGAAAAAATTCTTTTATACTTTATATCCTTTCGGTTTGTCTCAAGCCTACTTTGTTTTGCTAGCAACAAATCTGCAATCAATGGGAAAAGCAAATACAATGCTTGCTGCTTTTAAGATTTATTTTCCCTTATAAATTGACTGATAGGTAAAAATATCTTGGACTTATGAATGCAACTGAGTACAATAAAACAATCCATACAATGATCGTGAGCTGTCAGTTCCATTTATTAGTTAATAGCACCGTGCATGACATATTGTCTCTTGTCTAATGTAAAATAAACTTTATTATCTGCATCCGAGACAAGCAGATTGATGGCTGGCTACTAAGGGTTCTTAGAGAATATTGAAGAACTCTAAAACTGAACACAAAAAATTCTCAACAGTTAAATGTAAAACTCGAAGAGACATCGATTGGTTAATTTCATGACTATTTTTAGTACATTTTCGGTTGACTTACGTTGCCTACAATCACTGGACAGAGTGTTTCACCAAGGGCCGCACTAACTACCAGACATGACGCTATTGGAGCTGAAAAATCAAATCAAATCAAAATTATTTTTCAACTTCAAATGCGTACATTAAGGAACATTTTCCAATTACCCATAATTTAAACATGATTTTTCTTCCTTGGAAATTAATTTTAGGAACTAATCAAACGAATCATACAAACTCATATTATTTTCAAAATCAGATAATCGTTATGACTGATTTTGCACTGAAAGAAGTTGACGGGGACTTAGATAAGACATTATAAACGTATTAAGACTCACCATTGATGTCAATAAATTGTTCCGTCAGTGACATAATGGTTGGCGACATGCTGCTTAGAAAGAGTCCAAATACGCATGTGCCAAAGTATGCTACAACATGGTTGCCTCGAAATATTAGTGTGAATAAAAGAGCAAGAATACATCCTCCCTAAAATGAAAAAAAACTATATAATTTTTATATAACAGTTTCTGTTTAGCAATAGAGGTAATGAGTTAACATAATGAAAATAATATGGAAGGATATCCATAATTCTGTGCAAACCGCAAAAATTATAAATAGGACAAAAATATTTTTTTCTTATATTACAACCGCTTTAGTCGCCCTCATGTCGCAGTGTTCTAGAGCGTCAGCTCTAGAGTCTCGAAGTAAGGAGTTGATCCTTACGTCGCGGGTTCGAATCCCAGTGCGGGATGTGGAGACCGGTCCTTCGGATAAGACCGTATAAACCGAGGTCCCGTGTTGTAGTAGGTGCTGTCACGACAAAGATCCCTCACTGCTCTATGGCCCTGAGTTCCTAGTATACGTCTAAATTTGTATTGCAACCCTCCACCGGCAAATGGTGGCGTCTCCATATGAGCGAAAACATTCTCGAGGGGGGAGGTTAAACAACAAACAAACAATACAACCGCTCCCAAGTTAAGTTATGCTTAAATTAGGCATGGTTATAAAAAACTTGTTTCTAACAATACAAATTTCATACACTGCTTTTGTTTCTGGCAAATAACTATATCTTGAGAGAGATCTATTTCACGAAAATAGCATGATAATCGGTAAGGAATTGGCGGCGATTTTTGAGTACTACATGTAGATATAAAAAAAAAAAATCAAGGTCAAAATAAGTGGTCTTATTGGAGGTACATGTATAAACTGGTGTCGGTTGTTTGCTTTTCTCCCTGGAATCAGATCCGTTATTCTAATTGTTAAGAGTTTCATAATTACAATGACCTGATATAACATGTTCTATGTATTTGTTACTTGTTTATTACGCTCACTCTCACATTGTTGTACCATGTAATATTTTGCCTGTACGTAGTGTATATTCAGTAATTACATGTACTATGATGCCTTGTATGGCACAAAGAAATAAAGACCTTAAGGTGGTTGGATCCTGCCATCAAAAGTAATGAGATTTTTTTTATCAAGTATATTTTTAGAATTTAAACACATAGCTTAGTTAAAAATCAAAACAAAAAATGGGAGTCAATGTGCTTCTTTTGGCGCTACAGAGCATTTAGTTTAACCTTTTTGCACTGTAAAAACGTCTTACACATAAATCAATTTTTAAAGTTTTTCCTCGAATATTTTTAATTCATATAAATTATGGGAATAAACACAGTCTTATTTCATTTTAAATAGACACATTAAAATTTGTGACAATGAAATTTTTTTTTCAAATTACTCTGCATGTTCAATTATTTGACCTCTTTGCACTCAAAAAATTCATTTTTCTGGCATTAAAAATTTAACAAGCATAAAAATCATTTGAAAGTAATGACATTTTACTGAATTTAAGAAGAATGGCTAAAAGTATCTTATATATTCAGAAAAGAAAATTAAAATTGGGGTCTGTGATGTTAATTTTTAGATATTACTAAAATAGTGCTCATTTTAAGCTTAAATTAGGGCTATTTTTTCTTGATTTTTTACAATATATTTGCTATATTTATCAAATATGATGATAGAATTCATGCTAGTTTATTTAATATATAATTTAGGACCAGTATAAAACAGTTCACTGCACAAAATAACTCTGTGTGCAGACTGCACGTTAAAATAGGAATCCAAACTTAACATACTTTAAATACTTAAGAGAAAAAATGATCATTTTCTTCTAAAAAAAAACCTTCCACCACAAAATATAGTTCCTCACTTAATGCTTTTGGTGTGGATTTTAATCATGGAGTTTTAACTGAATATAGTTGAATTGGCATTGTAGAATCCAAATATATTATTAGAATAAAAAACATTATGCAGATTTTTTGAAATATAGGTTAAGATTAAAATATGCTTAAAAGCTCAGGAGCGAACCTCATTAAACTTCAATTTGATCTTGAAAAGTAATTCTCATTTATCATTGGTTTAACACATTCGTTTTTATGATGGCATCCCTATATCTTTTGTCTCCCACATACATTGATTCTGTTTGAATTAATTTCTAGATTAATTTATCGGGTGTTGACCAGTAGTGAAAATTATTTTTCTTGTTGATTTAGGACTGCAGACAAAATTCAACACTTAATAATATATTTAGAACATCGTGTAAACATTAACTAATTAATTGACGAACAGAATGTATGAGGTACATGTATGTTGTAGAATATACAGAAAAAGTATTAACAGTAGAAAAAATTTGAAAATGATGTTGGCAGACAAGTATTATCTTAAAACGCAAAGAATTATAAAATTATCATTATGATTTAAAAAAAAATACTTAAGTATTCAAACTTAAGAAAAACAAATCGACCAAATACTACTTGTTTGGTTTATCAGTAAAAACTGCGAAAACAGTTTGCCACAAATTCATTCATATCGATTTCTTATGACATTGCAATCTATTTTATTTCCCTCATTAATTGCTGCCAAAATGAGGTTAAAGTAAATATGTTAATAAGACAAGATGTTAAATTTATTTTAAAATGTCGATATATCAATTTCAACTCTTCAAGAGCTGTTTTGTCCATTAATTGGTTGCTCTCAGCTTTTCAAAATATATTGATTGGGTCTATTTGCAAGATGCCGGGACTTTGTACATGTATGTAAGCCTTATGTACATGCTCTCACCAATGTAATATCTCTGCAAATGGGAAATTCAATAAAATTAATGCACATGATGTACCGCTTTATTTTCAAAACAGAAAACAAAGATGAACGAAAAACAAAAGATAATTATAAGATTTGGTAGGACATATAGCTTTAGTCAATACATACTAAGTCATAGGACTAAGCTAAAGCAGTATGAATCAATACAGTCATGCTAAGTTACAGGACTAGTAAGCTACAGTAGTATGGCTCAAATGATACTAAGTTACAGGATAGCTACAGTAGTATGAATCAATACATAACACATATAAGTTACAGGTTCGCTACAGTAGTATGGATCAATACATACTACATTTAATTAAAGGTTAGTTACAGTAGTATGAATCAATACATACTAAGTTGCAGGTTAGTTACATGTAGTATGACTCAATACAGACTAAGTTACAGGTTAGCTACAGTAGTATGAATCAATACATACTAAGTTACAGTAGCCCTTTTCACAAAAAATCTTAAGACATATTTTTATCTTAAGTGAAAACTTATGATAAAAATCATTTTCACAAAATTTCGTAAGAAAGTCGTAAGTGCAAAATCTGTCGTAACTTTACGAGAGCCCCAACCCTCTCTTAAGTATTTTAAAACCGATTTTATTGTAAAAATAAAATCGCAAAAACCAAAATACACGTTAAATTGAACGTTGTAAAGCAACTTACAACAATATTTTATATATTTTTTTCACAATCATTGTCGAAAAATTAAATGAAATACACTACAAAATATTTACGATGTAAGTTTCACTTAAGATTTTCGTATGACCTACTTTTACGTCAGACTTGTGATTGTGACGTCAGATTTTAAACTTCCTTGCTTCACAACTGATTGCATTCGATATTTGTTGTCAATAATATTTGTTATGCTGACAATTGTTGAAAACTAAGTTTTATTTTATTTTCACCCACTTATTAAAGGATTGTAAAGCATATTGAAGTCGTTGCTAGGGATGAAGTCTGTCGTAAGTAAAATCTCAAGTTCAATCTGCTACGAATGCGTTTGTGAAACGCACTTAAGATTTGTCGTAAGAGATTCTTAAGTTAAAATCTTATGCAAAAACTTAAGATTTTTTGTGAAAAGGGCTACAGGTTAGTTACAGTAGTATGAATCAATACAAACTAAGTTACAGGTTAGCTACAGTAGTATGAATCAATACATACTAAGTTACAGATTAGTTACAGTAGTATCAATCAATACATACTAAGTTACAGGTTAGCTACAGTAGTATCAATCAATACATACTAAGTTACAGGTGAGCATAAAGGCAGCAGTCAGTCTTGTGGCACACGGAATGGCAATTAGTCGGCCTAGGGCAAATGTTCCCTGTAAAATATATACAAAAATACTGAATAAAACCCCATGTAGCGTCTCTTAAGCTTATATATATCATCTGCAATCACATTTTGTTTTAAATCCAATGTACGTATGTTCTATTGCGGTAAATTCTTCAAAAATTCTATACCATTTGCGTCCGACATATTACTTAGAATATGCTTTATACGAGCATATTGATATAGAAAAACATTAAATGCTTATCGTGGAAATACCTCGAAATCGACTTGTGAGACTATTTCCACGAAAAAGAAAAAACATGCAGAAGTCTGAAAAAAGTCTGAATTTTGTCACACGAAAACTGTTTTTATCATGCTTTGTTCTGACTATATCTGGTAGCGCATACGTCTACTGCTAAAATGTTACATATTTTGGTATAAAAAATAATGAAATTTTACTTCCATTTTCCTTTCATTTTATGTTTAAATTCTGTTTTGTTTTGTTTTTGTTTTTTTTTTTGTTTTTTGTTTTTTTTTTTTTTGTTTGTTTTTTTTTTAAGTTTTACAATTTTTGACTGAACATAACTTTGTCTAATCAGACAAATTGAATTTTTAAGAAATTATTTGTACAAAGGTACGGATACCTTTAATTGTTCCTAGCATTGCATATACACTTACACTTACCCAGAAACAAGCGTTTAAATAAGCTCCCTCTCCTTTGTGAAGACCTTTCACATTTTTTACGGCAAATGAATATATATAGTCAGCGTAGGAGGACTGTCAAGACATGGAGTTTGTTCATCAATTTATAGATAAGAACATGAAACGTGAAACATTAATGATATATATTTTGTCATTCATCAGTTTTTTGTTAAATGTTTACTTTTTCTTAAAGCAAAAACTATTACCGAATTTTAGTCTTCGGATATTGCTGGAAGAATTTTTTATTACCTCATGCAATTGGATGGAAAAGAAGTTTTATCACAGTTAAAATTTGTTATTAATGATGATAGTAAAGACGGATGATAAACGCTCATAATTATGCACTTTGTAATAAATAGCAGCATGATAATTGTTATGTATAATAGTGAAATGGCTACGCACCTGCAATCCATCGTAGAAGAACAAGGATGCTGAAGTAATTAGAATAATTACCACGATTTCTCTTGTTCCAAAGCAGAAACAGTAGGTTTGTCCACTTATATCTCTCATATCTGAAGAGGTTTATGTAGAATAAAATTGAAGAGTTATGCAACGTACCAAAAGTTTATCCATTTGTTAAACATTAAAGATCCTCGCCATGTGGTTGTTGTCCTTATTTTTGACGATGATATTGAATAAAAAGATACACTTCGGAAGGTAATTTTATTTAAATATTCTTTTCAAAAGATAACTAGTACTACATGTAACTTTGATACGTGCATCGAGTTCCCATGCTTTAGACATTGGCAATAATCAAAGATTTCTTGAATACCTTTCAAAAACCTCAAATGGACTTAAATGACACCTTACATTGAATAGGTAAAATGTGCTGAACGATCATACCTTAATGTTTCATAAAATAATGTTTCATGAAACTTGTTTTTAGTTTTATTTTGCAGAAATTATTCTTGTAAGCAGTGATCTGTCCATGTTCACTCATTGTCTTCACCCTATTAAGAGCTAAAGTTGTCGATGTCCCCAAACTGGATTCTAATTAATGTCATTTCAATTGTTCCTATGAGATCTGATGCTTTAAATTATTTTATACAGTTAGCTACGAAGAAAAAAAAAACACATTTGTGGACACATCTTTTTCTATCTATTAAAACGGAGTTAAGTAAGTTATTGAATTCAACATAGATAACATTTTATAAAATTGCAGTTGCAATTTTAATGTCCCTATTTGTAAATCAAGTTTATGCTACTTGTTAATATTGTTTTGCTTTTTTTTCTACTCTGTGTGTCAAACCGAGATTTTTCTTACTTTGATCTGATGATTCAGAGCGAACTGAAGCCAAACTGGCCGACTGGGAAACAGCTGCTCCTGAAGATATAATATGCTTCTTCTCTAAGATAATCACCACTATCACAATAGCTGTAAAGAAAAACTGTCAAAAAAGCCAAGTTAGAGAACAGAAATTTTAAATCATTAAGAAATCTACAGGCTGTGCATTTTTATGGTTAAAGCTAGTAATTATATACATTTATTTAACACCTGGTTCTATTCAGCACAATTGTGTTGTTCTGATTTAATCTGAGTTATAGACAGTGAATATAAATATATCTAATACATTTAAACTTCAGGCCATTCGTGTATCGATCCAAAGAGTTAACGTACCTATCAGTTTCACCAATATTTTCAGTAAAAAAAATGTACCTATTACGTATTTTTGTTGTTGCTGATTTGCAGAGAACTTTAAAATTGAATTTCCACCTCAGTCTAACGAGCAACAATCAAATTCTACGACTTACGCTATGTTTTTAAGTAACAATTCATTTTATTTTACATATCTAAATTTTGGTTCTTACTTGGATACTAGCCAGAATAAAGAAAGCCCTTTCTGAGTGGCTAAGATGTTGAGCACGTGACACTGTAGGTTGTGTTGTGACCTCGGATTGGCTATAATTCGATGTAGTTACAAAGTCTTTTGTTAATTTGCCATGCATTGGCTGTGAGCAATCCACATCAAGTGTAAATGGTGCTGCTATCATGGGACTAATGAATGCTCCAAGACCGTAACAAAAGTGCATAGCCTAGAAATTCATGTAATATTAGAAAAATAGGGAACTTAGCTTTTTTTCTTCATTATCCAAATTAAATATTTATTCTCTTCTTTGCATAGTTCAAAATGGGAAAGTTAACAGGATTTTTTTTTCATCAAAAAGGAATCGGTTTTTAATTCTTACCTGCAGAAATGGAGAGACATTTGTTCCAAATCTGAGAATCATTCTGAGGTTGGCGACACAGTCTATACACCCCATACACCATCCCATTAGCATCAGGTTCACCAGGAGTTCTCCAAACTCTGTACAGGCGGGAACTAACAGCGTGGTGAAGGGGAGACCAATCATACCAATCAACATTAGCACATGGACAGGGACAAATCTATAATAGAGTGTTTAATTGATTGATGTTTTGATTGAATGACTGATCGATCGATTGATTTGTTGATTTGATTGATTGATTGATCATTTGATTGATTGTCGGTAAATTTAGGTCCTTGTGCGGGTGGTCCTATATATATATATATATATATATATATATATATATATATATATATATATATATATATATATATATATATATATATATATATATATAATATTAAATGGTTAATATTAATTATAATATTAAATGCTTAAATAATACTTCTGTTATTATCATCATACTAGTGTCATAACCTTCTTATTTCATACAAACAGTGGAAGTACATTGCATGGAATGTTTTGTTAAAATTGAGAGGCTTACTCGTAAAATTGATGTTGCCTTTGAAGCTTAATTTCAGTGTAACGTACTTTTCTAACAGAAACAACAAACAACTCCATTCCTTTGTTGATCTAACTCTTAGCATAAAAAGTGTTATCATTAATAATAGATAACTTTATGCAAGAATATCGCTTTCGTTCCTGTTAATAATTTGTTAGTGCACCCGCTAATTTACAGCATTGGTTTCTTTTGATTTCGAAAGCATTACATGTTAAAATTACTTGCAACAACTGTATAAATTATTCAGGGTAATCACTTTTCACACTGCACAGCTCTTTCACAACAGACCAAAAATGTTTTCAAATCAAGCAAGTATCAGTGTCGAACAATCCATAAAATGTCAGTGAATAATTTGCTTTTTCATATTTTCAAGAACAAAGCAATTCAAATAAATATAATCTGTGTGAGTTATCTGTTTAGACAAGTTGACGTTTCATAAAAAAATGACAGAAGTGTGTCCAACATTTTAATCTTTAAAGTTGAACACTTTCGTTTGAAGACCCCTTAGACACGTGATTGATGTATTTCCGTTCGTCCTATATACTTCGTAAAGTTTTCCCATAGAAGAAGTATTTTCCCAGTAACTATTATATGTTTCTTTTTTATTAATTACTGCTTCTAGAATTTACAACAAACATTTTGATGTATTAATTTAATCAGGACTGGATCCTTAGACGATGTCAGATAAAAATATAATGGTTTGAAGTCATCAAAAAAGCTAATAAATCAAAGACTTTTGTATGCTTTAAATGCCGTCATTCCAAGACAATGCCTTCTATATCCAATCCTTATTTTTCTTCAATTCAGAGAATGATGCAAGTTTTCAGGAATAATGCGGAATATTACAATAAATTTTGCTTTTACTGTTCGAAATCTATATAAGGCCTAATTTTCGTTGATATGACACATACATGTAACAGTTCAGTAATCAGTCGACATACAAGCAGTATTTATGATACTCCATATCGAGATCTGTACTGCTTCGTCTCTAATTTCTGTCACAAATTTTGAGATTTCTGTATACAATCCATATTTTCAATTGTCTATATACCGGTCTTGCTCAAAGAGCACAAGTGCATCTGTAACTATGAAAGCAGAAACTTTTCACGTCAAGGGTTAATGTGTTCTTTGTGACAAGCTATGGGCTGATTATATATTTGATCCCTTTTCCACGCAAAAGCTAATTACTTTGCTTTATACTTTGAAAGATCTTATTAGGTCCCAACAGGTTAAACTGGAGGAGCTTATAGGTTTCCTCTCCCTTTGTTCGTCCATCTGTCTGTCTGTCCTACTTGATTCTCCGTGTCCTTTTTGGATTAGAGGCTTGCATATTTGAGCTGATTTTTGGTTTGCAAGCCTACACCAGCATGCTAGACATACTTTTAAGGGCGCCGAAGTAAATAAGGAGACTAAGGTTCTTGTAGGAGTACGAGTCTCCCGATGAGTTGAGATCAAGTTGGCATTTCGTTCCATTTCGACGGTTTTTGATGGAATTACAGCATATACTGGTAGGGGTCTTGGTATTGCTTATACAGTACTCCCAGAAAACTTGTTTTACAATTAATGTGAATAATATCATGGGAGGAAGGGGTAACCAACCTAGCTGAAAACCATTTCAATATAATTATTTTTGAGACACATTTCTTTGTTTAATCGTACACTGTATACATATACACGATTTCATTTTCTCTACGTGCGTGTGTTTTAAGTAAAAAGCAATCTAACATTCTTTTCATCCTGGAAAAAATTTTATAGCATCGGATGGCTCTTTGCCCTAACAAACGTATCAGTTTAGTGGTTTTAAAATGACCAAAAAATAGTGATAAAGGGACAGCTCCATATTATTACTAAGAAATGGTGTTGAAGGCTGAAATATCCCCAGGCTGGAAACTTATTTGTAAACAATTGCTTATGAGTAGATTTTATACAATGGCGTATATTGTTGCAATGTTGAAACTTGAAGTGCAGAAATGTTATCCGTATTTTTTTTAAAGTAGACCTTGCATGGCATGACCTGGTATTATTTTGACTTCAGGCTATATATCTATAGTATTATCTGCATATACCAAGTGATCACGTGATATACACATACCAATTAACGGAATGTCCTAAAGGTAGCCGGCTGTCACAGTTGAAGGGAATCTACACCATATACATTAGTGATGTTTTGTAAACAATACTGTATATTTTATCGATATGTGCTGTAAGTAAGATCATGCATTGTTTAATATGATAAAAAGAATGTGCGTTCTTTAAGCTTGCTGAAAATTGGGTATTCCTTACTTGCTAAATCATAACTTCGCAGTGCATTTACATTGAATTTCATAGCGGCTGAGACTATGAAGTTTCTGAGAATTTAAAACACTGGTAATCTCACCCATACAAACCTTGCAGTATGATTTTTAAAATCTAATTGTCCACAAAGGTTCCTAAAAATCTCATTACTAGTTTGAAATGAATCCTATGACAAGGTAAGGTCTCCTTTTATTACTTAGGTATACAGAAATTTAAGGGCAATGATGAAGGGCTGGTTAAATGAGAAACATCCTCGTTTTTGAAGAAAAATATCTAGAATTTGACAATTTTAAAAAAGTATAACTTTTTAACACGTTATACAAGTAATTCTCTCCATAAATTAATGACCAGGCTTTTTAACATTAAACACAACTGTTTCTTTAGTGAAAAAAGGAACTCGGACGTTTTCATTTCTTGTGATAGATCATCTATAATCTTACTTTGCTAGCAATTAATTCTGATTTCACTCAAAAGTACACTGAAACTGATATTTAAAAGATGTTTGGGTTCATCATTGACAACATCCATGTACATGGTCTTTGGATACCAGTTCGTCCAAAAATTATTTGAAATTCTCATGGGTACGAATTGTGCCATATGAAGCAGAATTTATGCTAAAACATGAAAAAAGTCTCTACTGTGGCCTTCAATTCGACTTTTAGATTGATTGATTGATTGTTGTGTTACGTCCTATGTGAAAAATTTCCACTCATATGAGATGTCATCATATACTGTACAGGGGATTAATTTCACGGGTTGTAATTTTCACTTTTTTTTCTCTTCTCTGACACGATCGCGGTTTGTTGAATTCGCGGAATTGGTATATAATAAAAGTTACCCCCATTGTCTATATCCGTTTAATCCATAGCATACAAGTAGCTAGAACGACATTAATCAGCGTTATGTATTCACTTCACGAACAACAGGGTATGTTTATATAAAATAGTTAGATTTAATTAAAACAAGTGCAGTTATTAAAAGTCCTTGATTGTAAACTTATTCACTGTTTCTTGAATTCAAGGATTCATTAACACCGTGAATATAGCGAATATTAACACCGAGAGTTATTTTCCCCCTATACAGTACCAGTGAAGGGCTTCAAATTTAGAACTTTACTCGGCTCTAAGGATAAATGAGCAGGGGAGTTCTTTATTATGTAAACACCTACCGTGACTTCGGTTTCTAAGGTCTCATTTTGAAAGACCCGTGTCTTTCTTCTAATGCCGGACGCATGGCAATGTTATACTTTTTAAAATACTTTTAAGGTTCGAAGCGGCGCCGGGAATGAGAATCGAACACGGTACCCCCTATCACAAAGCGAGTGCCCTACCGATAGGCGTAAGTTGAGATATATCAACGAGGTTTTATAAAGTACTATTATTTTCATTCATATGTAGATGTATTGTAGATGTATTGATTCGATATATCACACTGGACACACTCAACTGAAAATTAAAAACACCTCAGAGTCTGACACTTCTGATTCATATTTTAAAAAGAGCAAGACATTGATGTCAAGCAACCTGGTGACTTTAACTTTTCTATTGTCAACTTCACTTGTTTATGTTGTAATATACCTTTCTCACCTGCATATGGTGTTGATTCGATACGCAAGAACAAGTTCCGAGAACGAACAATATCTAGACCGAAGCAGGTTACTATCAAATGATTTGATGTCACAAGGGTATCAACAATCTCGTTTAACTTCAACATTTTGATTCTTTTTTTTTTTTTTCTTTTTTTTTTTTGTCTTTACAATGATCTTGTTTGCAATTACAATCTGTCGTTAAATTGAACATTTACTGAGGTATTTAATTCAAATTGTTAGGTCATTATTTTTATTCTGGATTACCGACGGATTTCTCCGTTTACCCCATGAAGACAAAGCTTTCAGAGGCCCGAAATTGCTCTGTTCTCATAGCTTAATTGGACTTTTGTGCTTGAATACAGTTTGTTATCTTCACATTTCATCCACCAAGGTGAATGAATAAAACAAAGAAAATGACATGTTTATATACACATTTATTCAAATCGATGCCTCTCTAAAAGGAAGTTAAATTCGAGTCTCGACATTTATATAGTGTCAACCCTTTAATAGATTTATTAACCTCACTTAATCTCTGGTAATTTGTACATAAAATTTTACTCAAAAAATTCAATTAACGGCAAAGATTCTCCACTAATGAAGAAAAATCAGCTTTCACAAGTGTCAATCAAGACAAGGTCTAATCTTGCCTTTGTAAGCTTCTTTTCACTATATTTCCTTTATCGATTTGTTATTATTCTAGACTTCCATTGGAAAATTATCTTGAGCACTATATTAG